GTAGCTGGAATTACAGGCGCGCGCTACCACGCCCTGCTGATTTTTTGATTTATTGTAGAGATGAGGTCTCGCCTGCCCAGGTGGGTCTCGAACTCGCGGGCAATCCACTCACCTCAGTCTTTCAAAGGCGCGGGATTACAGGCTGAGCCACCGAGCTCAGCTTTATACCTGGATTTTTAATAACCTACTGCAATGGATGCCTGTTGAGATATAGAATTTCAAAAATTAAAAAGCTTTTCAAAGTTAAATGAATATTCTCTCAGAACATTTCCTTCAAGAGAGCAAACACCCAAAGCCCCAGTGCTTCCCCCTCCCACTCCTATTACCCCTCACAGTTTGAGAGGGTCCCTGTTGATTCATTCATATACTGACAGCAAAAAGTGAGTGACACTGAGTGGGTCACTTTTGACTGGTTGGGGCTTGTTTCCACAAGGTCATGAGCTGTAGAGGTAAACATGGAAGGTTTCCTCTATTGAGGAAGGTAGGAAAGGCAGGCACCTCTCTGAAGGTTGTCTCTCTTTTTGGTGAATCACCCTTCAAACAGGAACCTTGGGAGCTCAGAGGCTGCTTTCACTGCTGTGTCTTTTCACTGCTACTGAGAAACCATCATATTAGCATGGACTTCTCCCCTCCCCACCATCACCTGCACAATGGCTTCCCTTGAAAGCCGTGTTAGACCAACGAGCTCTCACTTGTAGGCTCCTCACCCAGTAGCATGCATATGTAGATTTTTCTCAGCAGCTTATCCTCCAAGTAGCACACGAGACACTGTCTGAGAATTGGACATTATTCCACTTCCCTGCACAACCCAACCAGCTCAGGTAGTCTCAGCTTGGGCTCTGGGGGATCAGCTTTCCCCTCACAATGCTCTGCTGTTACTTTCCCTCCCCCAAAGGTAACACCTGGTAGCCCCATCAACGGTGGTTGCTAGGAGAGTGTGCAAGAGAATGTACCCCAGGCCTTGGATTTTGTCGCATTGACCAGATCAAATTTAACACCTTGAAGTGGAGCAGGGCCCAGGTGTCATGTTCTGTGATTCATGCTCAGTGCCTGCTGGTTGGGGTTTCAGTTCCAGGGCTTCAGGGTTTTCAAGGGATATGAGAAAGGCAGCTGAGGGCACAAGAAATATCCAAACTACTGTCATGTGTCACTTGACAATGGGGATATGTTTTAGAAATGCATCATTAGGCCATTTTGTCATTGTACAAACATCCTAGCGTGACTTACAGAAACCTACATCACATCTCGATTAGATAGTAGAACCTGCATCACAACTCAGTTAGATGGTTCAGCCTATGGCTCCCAGACTACAAACCTGCACAGTATGGGACTGTACTGAATACTGTAGGCAATTGGAACACAGTGGTATTTTTGTTACTATACATAGAAAAGTTACTGTAAAGACATGGTATTATAATCTTATGGACCACCATTGCATATGTGGTCTATTGTTGACCTAAACGTTGTTATGCAGTACATGACTGAACATACAAATCTCAGATCTACAGTATGCTCAAAGAATCTCAAAAACCTACCTGGACTCTTGTGAGGCTCATTAAAGGGACACTAGGAAGGGAGTTGGTCCTTGGGCATCATGAGGTCACTGGGCATGCATTTCCTACAGGGACACTGTTCCATCTTTGCACCAATAGGGAGTTAGTTGCCATCCTCCACCAGACTTGTTGAATTGTCTTCTCAGAGACTTGCTCAGCAAGAATACTGTTTCCATGGAGACCGCTAAGACCAGTGGAGAAAGCCCATGGAAATTCCAGCCTGTTGGGAAGCCCGCAACTGCAAACCCCCATCTAGCCAAGCATAGGTACGGGTTGGGCTTGGGCAGCTCCCTTCCAGTGGGATTTGCTTCTAGAAAGTTGTTATGCATGAATATTCTCCTCCGTGGAGCCCCAGGGGGAGGATGAAAGGACCAGAAAGTCTTCAAAGCCACAAGACCCAGAGTACCTCCCAAAGTGTGAGGTCATGGGGGGGAGTGTCTTCAGACCAGACCTTGATCACAAGCCACCATGTGACAGCCCAGCCAAGAGTCTTTTTGAAAAGAATCACAGAAATCACACATGAGTTCCCATGAATCCAGGATGTCCTCATAAACAGTGGTTGACCCTGTTGGAATCAAGTCTTTTGAAGTATCACCAGCCCCCTCCAGCAGGAATGCTGCTCCGGAACTGGGAGGGTTCTTTAGAAGTTTTCCCAGCCGATATGGCTGTTGAGGTTCATGACTCCAACAAAATGGTGCCCTCCGCCATCTTCACCACCTGCCCAGGTTCTCTCCTCAGGACCTGGCTGTGCAGTCCCTGACCAGACAATCCGACCTACCCCTCCTCTCAATTGCCTCTCTTTAAAAACAATTTTTTTTTTGTAGAGATGAAGTCTTGCTATCTTGCCTAGGCTGGTCTCGACCCCCTGGTGTCAAGCAATCCTCTCTCCTTGGACTCCCAAAGTGCTAGGACTCCAGGCGTGAGCCACCGTGCCCAGCCAGCCTTACCCTCTCTTCAAGGAGCCTATCACATAGATTCCCCCAGACTCATCTCAATCCAACCCTGGGAGGAAGCTCTGTGTGCGGTTCCCCCACAGCTCACAGTGCTTGTGTGTGTGTGTGTGTGTGTGTTTGTTTGTTGGGGACCCCCGTAGCATCACACGTGCTTTCTTGGTAGATCGTCACCCTTTTCTGAAGCTCAGGCTCCTCCACCCTTCCCAGGCACATCTCTCCTATTGCCACAGTTTATTACCTGCTCTTTTCCATATAATTTTAACTCACTTGTTTTCCCTGAAGTATCCTCCCAAACTCTGCGTGAGTCTCTTAAAATTGTGCCCATTCCTGTTCTTTATCCTCATCAGTCTTAATTAGTGCTCCAAGGCACTAGCGCTGTATCCAATTACTACCAAGGTATTTACCTGACTGTATTGATCCACCCAATGTGTTTATTGGGCACCTTCTACCTACCAGGTATAGTTTGAGGAATTAGTGATACTGGAGTCACTAAAATAGACAAATTCCTTGTCCACTGAGACTTTATTCTAGTGGCAGAGACAGAGAATGCAAAACACAAATAGGCAGGGCATGGTGGCTTGCGTCTGTGATCCCAGTGTTTTGAGAGGTTGAGGCGGAAGGATTGCTTGAGCCCAAGAGCCTGAGACAAGCTTGGGCAACATAGAAAGACCCTGTTTCTAAAAAAAAAAAAAAAAAAAAAAATTAGCCAGGCATGGTGGCCCATGCCTGGAGCCCCAGCTACTGGGGACGCTGAGGCAGAAGGATCTCCTGAGTACAGGAGGTTGAGGCTGCAGTGAGTTGTGATCGTGCCACCGCACTTCAGACTGGGCGACAGAGTGAGACTCTGACTCAAAAAAAAGTCTCTTGTAACTACCAGTTTCCTCTTTAATTCCCATCTAGGAAGCTCAAAGTAAAACCGGTAACCCATTTTAAATAACCGTGCCACCATGGCCAGCTAATGTTTTTGTTTTTGAGTCAGGGTCTCTCACTCTGTCGCCCAGGCTCAAGTGCAGTGGCATATCATAGCTCACTGCAGTCTCGACTTCCTGGGCTCTGACAATCTTCCAGCCTCAGTATCCTGAGTAGCTGGGACTACAGGCTTACACCACCACATTCAGCTATATTTTTTATTTTTTGTAGAGATGGGGTCTCACTATGTTGCCCAGGTTGGTCTTAAACTCTTGGGCTCAAGGAATCTTGTTACCTCAGTCTCCCAAAGTGCTGGGATTATAGGTGTGAGCCACTATGCCCCGCCTTTCTTTCTTTTTCACAGATGAGATGAATGCTAGGGCTTTGACCAAAGGTGTTACATGAAAAACTCAGTGTGCTAAGTACTGACAGCATTTTCTGAAGCCACTGACAAGCCTTCCAGGACACAGGCACTGTTTTAGTCTTTTCTCTTTCTCTCTGCAGGTTCTGATGCCAGCACAATTGAAATCCACACTGCAAGTGAATTCCGCAACAAAAATGACGGGGACTCTGCTCCCCAAACCCATGGAGACTTATGAAGGCGATGTGCTGAGGTCCAGACCTGCATACCCAACTCTACGTTTCTTTCTTTGCAAGTGTGTTCTCGCCTTCCTGTCACTGTGTTGCCAAAGTGCAGCCCCGCAAACCTCGCTCTCACTACCATATGGGGTTGCCTTTCTGAGGGTTCTTTATGGTAGAAAGAATGATCTATTAGCATGCACTGGAGTGGAAGAATTCCTTCTAGACCACTTCCTAGACTCTTAGTTGCCACTAGGACTGTTTCGAGGCTGGCTGTAATGTAAGTACAAGACTCATGTCCTTGAGAAAGTAGTTAAATAAAGTAACTGATGGAGCCCCCAGCTGCCTTTGACTCTGTCTGAACACCTTTAGCAAAAGAACATACAGGGGTGCCAAAAAAATATACACTTCTTAAGAGATGTTATCTATGTAGTACTTTTTGAAGTTGAATTGGATTACGGTAACAATGTGTAGTATGATGTTCACTCAACTGTGCTTCTGCCATTTGCTTTGACTGTCCTGCCTGTAGCATGGTGATGCTAGCATTCATTTGATTAATGCCATCCTTTGAACAAACATCATACTTGAAGTGTGTATATATATTTTTTGCACCCCCTGTCGATACACAGTTATGTTTGCTTAACAATGGGGAGACTGTGGGAGGAAGCTCTGTGTGCGGTTCCCCCACAGCTCACAGTGCTTGTGTGTGTGTGTGTGTTTGTTTGTTTGTTGGGGACCCCCGTAGCATCACACGTGCTTTCTTGGTAGATCGTCACCCTTTTCTGAAGCTCATTAGGTGTCATTAGGTGATTTTGCCATTGTGTGAATGTCGTAGAATGCACTTATATACACCTTGATGGCACAGCCTACTATACACCCTGGCTAGAGGGTATAGCCTATTGCTCCTAGGATACACACGTGCAGCATGGGACTGTACTGGATATTGCAGGCAACTGGAACACAGTGCTATTTGTATATCTAAACACTTCTACACATAGAAAATGGTTAGTGAAAATAGAGTATCTAGAGCAAATACTCATAACTAAGGTTAGTGATGATGCCAAACAGCAACAAGGTAGACAATCAGCAGAACAACGGTGGGCAGAGAGGCATGGCTTTGATCAGGAATTTAGCCTTTGGTCCCCATATTGTGTTGAGCAATGGCATAGTCTAAGGAGTACTTGGAACCTGACGAGAGCAGATCATTGTTTGTGTCCTCATCTTTCTATCAGTTAAGAAATATGTACGAGAAGCCAGGCATGGTGGCTCACACTTATAATCCCAGCACTTTGGGAGGCAGAGGCAAGAGGATTACCTGAGCTCGGGGGTTTGAGACCAGCCTGGGCAACATGGTAAGACCTCATCTCTACAATAAATGAAAAAAAATCAGCCGGGCATGGTGGCACATGCCTGTGGTTCTACCTACTTGGAAGACTGAGGTGAAAGGCTGAGCCCAGCAGGTTGAGGCTGTGGTGGCCATGAGCGTGCCACTGCACTTCAGCCTGGTGACAGAGTGAGACTCTAACTCAAAAAAAAAATGTGTGTGTGTGTGTGTACACGAGGAGACTTCATGTAGAAAAACATAATTGAAAGATAAAAATAAAATATGTAAACTATTTCTCAACATTAACTCTATTAAGTTCAAGACACTTTTGTATATGAACTGAGGGTCCAGGAAATTTTGCCATATCAATACAGTCTTTTATACATTAAAAAAGGGGTGCCTGACTGAGCTCGGTGGCTCAGCCTGTAATTCCAGCACTTTGGGAGGCTGAGGTGAGTGGATTGCCTAATTCCACAGGTTTGAGACCTGCCTGGGCAACTTGGTGAGACCTCATCTCTGTAATAAACCAAAAATTAGCTGGGCATGGTAGCATGCACCTGTAGTTCCAGCTACTTGGAAGGCTGAGGCAGAAGGATCGCCGGAGCCCAGCAGGTCGAGGCTGCAGTGGCCCCAGCCGTTGCACTCCAGTCTGGGTAACAGAGTGAGACTCCAACTCAAAAAAAAAAAAGAAATTTTTAAAAAGGGTGCCCTTTAAAGATATTTTTAAGACTGAGAAACAAAAATAAGGCGCTATATCAGGACTGCAAGGTAGACACCTGATGATTTGCCATTGAACCTGTCACAAAATTGTCCTTGTTCAATGAGAGGAATAAGCAGGAGCATTCTCATGGTGGAGGAGAACTCTCTGGTGACACTTTTCTGGGCGTTTTTCTGCTAAATCATAATAAGCAGAAGCTATTGTTCCCCCCTCCCCCAGAAAGTCAGTAAGCAAAATGCCTCTTGCATTCTTAAACACTGTTGCCATGACCTTTGCTCTTGACTGGTCTACTCTTGCTTTGACTGGACCACTTCCACCTCTTTGTAGCCATTGGTTTGATTGTGCTTTGTCTTCAGGATTGTACTGGTAAAGCCATGTTTCATCTCTTATAAGAATTCTTCAGAGAAACACTTCAGAATCTTGATCCCACTTGTTGAAAATTTCCATTGACAGTTCTGCTCTTGTCTGAAGCAGATCTGGGCACAATGGTTTTGGCACCCATTAAGTGGAAAGTTTGCTCAACTTTAATTTTTCAGTCAGAATTGTTTGAGATGAACCAATCGAGATGCCCATGGTGTTGACTATGTTTGTGCTGTTAATTTTTGGTCCTCTTCAATTGGGGCACAAACAAAATAATTTTTTTCCTCACAAATTAATGTGGATGGTCTATAACTGGGGGCTTCATCTTTAATATCATCTCATCTTTTTTTTTTAAACAAGTTATCCATTTGTAAACTGCTGATACATTTGTGTCATTGTCCCCACAAACTTTTCATAAAGCATCATTAATTTTACCATTCTTCCACCCAAACTTCACCATAAATTTGATGTTTGATCTTGCTTCAATTTTAGCAAACTGACATCATATACTTTTTAATGCCTCAAACTAGATCCTGTTCAGACATGTAACAGGTTAGCACAAATTTATTTTGAAATCCATGCAAGCCGGGCTCAGTGGCTCAGCCTGTAATCCCGCGCCTTTGGGAGGCTGAGGTGAGTGCATTGCCTGAGCCCGCAGGTTCGAGACCCACCTGGGCAACTTGGCAAGACCTCATCTCTACAATAAATAAAAAATGAACTGGGCGTGGTAGCACGCGCCTGGAGTTCCAGCTACTTGGAAGGCTGAAGCAGAAGGATTGCCGGAGCCCAGCAGGTCAAGGCTGCAGTGGCCGGGAGCAGCCACTGCACTCCAGTCTGGGTGACAGAGTGAGACTCCAACTCAAAAAAAAAAAAAGAAATCTATGCAGTTTTTTCATAATGTATGTTTTCCATGAACTTTGTGAGGCTTCCTTGTGTGTAGTGTGTGTGTGTATAATTTTTTTTCAAAGATGTTGCAGCATGCACTGGGATTGCAGTCCACCCAATGTGTATATGAGGGGGACCCCTAAGTGACATTTTTTGTTTCCCTGGATGAAAAAAACTCTTCAAAGGTGTATTGCACTAAATGCAAAGTACTTTGAAAGTGACTAAATTTAAGAATATACAATTTTTTATAAATAATTTTGGGGGGCCCTCCCTCATATAGAAAAGCAACATACACTATTTTCTCAGAACTCTGCGAACAGCTCTGCCTTGTGACTTCTCTATTAAGATTAGGACTCCATTTTTTTCTAGAAAAGCTATCCAGGAAGTTTCTGAACTTGCAATTCGGGAGTTATAGAGCTGCAGGTGGATTCTGAGCACATCGGGAGGTGGTGCCCACTCAGAGCTAGCCTGGCTCTCTGGGTAACTGCTGCTGCACCTTCCTAAGAGTGGGCCTGGGCAAGACCACACTCTGACCAAAGATGTCAAGGAGATGAGAAAGAATTTTAGATGTTCTTTTTTTTGAGTTGGGTCTCACTCAGTTGCCCAGGCTGGAGATCATGGTTCATTGCAGGATCGACCTACTGGGCTCAGGTGATCCTTCTACCTCAGCCTCCTGAGTAGCTGGAACTACAGACATGAAGCAACACACCACGCTAAATTTTTTGTAGAGACGAGGTCTCACTATGTTGCCCAATCTGGTCTTGAACTCCTGGGCTCAAATAATCCTCCTGCCTCAGTCTCCCAAAGTGCTAGGATTACAGGCATGAGCCACCACATTCAGCTGAATTTTAGATTTTCTAGGGGCATGTACATTCTTCATCTCAGTAGTGACATCCTGTCTGACCCCAGCATTAGAGCCCTCCTCTATTTGAGGATCCCTCCTACCTGATGAGGTATAGGCCCACTCCCCAATTCTAGAAGCACCAAGAGGCCAGTGCTGGCTTTTCCATCCTCCCTTGCAGCTAGAGCAAAGACCATGACCTGGCAGAGCCAATCAGCATGTCTCCCAAGTTAGCAACTCTTGCTCTAGGGGGTGGGCTGCAGAGAAGCACTTCTAGAGAGCTCTGGCAGCGTTGTGGCACCAGGCAGATCTGTTTTAGGTAGCAGCACTGAGTGTACCTTGTCGAGGGCCAGTCTAGCATCCAGTCTCAGGGTGTGGGCAGCACCCATTGCCATCCGTATCATCCTTACTGGTCCAATCAATCCCACAGCTTGATTGTGGCTGTTCCTGTCTGCGGGTCCCTGAGTTTGGTTTTGCATATCCCCAGAGCTTCCCAGCAGCCATTTTATTCACCCTTTTGGGCTTACATTAGCCTGAGTTAGATCCTGAAGCTCGCAAATAAGAACCCAGGGCCCCAACTATCCAGCTGGGATGATTCCTCCCAGACAGGGCACCACGCATCATTGGTTGGTGCCCATGCCACGTGCAGCTTTGACTGGAGTGAGCTGTGAGTGAGCAGACGCTTCTCATGGCTACCTGCCAGGCCCTGGGCCAGGCACTGGGGATAGAAAGAGGTGGTGTGTATGCAGTCAGCCTAGGGAATGAGGAGACAATAACTGAGCAAACACATGAACACATGAGATAGTAATGGCTGGCCTCAGTTCTGAGCAACTTCCCCGTAAGGCTTGTTGTCACAGAGGATCCACATTCAAAGGTGGCTTGTTTTATTGTTTTAAAGTCAGCAGACACTAGTGCACACTGGGCACTAAGGGGAGCGATCAGTGGAGAGAAAGCAAGCATAATGCTGGGAGGCAAGCTCTTGAAGAGGGGACAGGGAACTGGGATCCATAGTCAGGAGTTTGGGTTAGCCTGTGGGTATAGCTGGGAGTGTAGTTTGGGTGGGAAGAGACTGATCCCATCAGGCGGCTTCCACTTGACTTGAATTTACTGGCCAGTATATCAATCCCACCATAAAAACTTTTTTTTTTCTCTCTGAAATGGGATCTTGGTCTGTCACCCAGGCCAGAGTGCAGTGGTTCTATCATAGCTCA